CCTTCCCTGCATGATGTCTTGTTTCAAGAACTGGCCTCTCAAGATAATATGTCTAGCTGTATGCAAGATGAAGTTTTACTATCCTTACCTCTCAGGAGCCCTCTGATTGTACTTTCTCCAAGACAGATCTGGTGGTTCGATAGACAGTATTAGGATGGGTGAACACCCGAAGTCAGAAGCATCGATTCTTCTATCATCCTTATTTGTTGCCCAGCTCTCAGATGCGTAGCAAGTGACTGAAAAGCCTGAATCAGGTACACTAAGACTAAGGTCTTTAAATTGACATTATTGAGGTCCCTGACAACACACTTTCCTAATGTGGGGACCTAGTAATGTAGGGTGCATGTCAGGTCAGAGATTCCAGTGAGAAGTCACTGAACCCTCTCTGCTTGCCTGTATAACTTGCTACTCCTTAGCTGTCTCCTTGGGTTTATGCTGTCTCTTCTCTCTGGGGCAGAGTTCTTCACTGCCTCTCAGGAACCCAATATGGTTGATGGCTCCATTTCTAGGTTATGTGTGGTTTTGTTGTTGTTGTTGTTGTTGTGTGTGTGTGTGTGTGTGTGTGTGTGTGTGTGTGTGTATCCGGGGAAAATCTGCACTTGATGTAGAAGTCAAGGACTGCAGCCTTCAATATGGATTGAAGCTCAATATCAAGAAAACATTCTCACCACTGGGCTGATTTTCAGCATTGTGATGGATGGTGAAGAGATTGAGACTGTTGAGACTGTAAACAGCTTTAGTTTACTTGGTTCCACAATCAACACTCTTGGCACTAGCAGCCAGGAAATTGAAAGACTTATTGCATTGGGAAAGTCTGCTGTTAGAGACCTCTCCAGAGTACTGAAGAGCAATGATGTTAGTCTGGAGACTAAGGTGCGCTTGATACAGGCCAGGGTCTTTGTGATCACTTGCTATACATCAGAGAGCTGGACAATAACTAGGGATGATAGAAGGAGAATTGATGCTTTTGAGCTGTGGTTGTGGAGAAGAGTATTGAATATACCATGTACTGCTAAGAGAACTTCAGGTTCATGCTAGAAAGGGTTAAACCAGGCTGCTCCTTGGAGGCAAGGATTTTGAAGCTTCATCTGATATACTCTGGACATGCTGCAAGGAGGGCCCAGTCCTTGGAGAGGGACTTAATGCTTGGGAGGGTGGAGGGACAGTGCAAGAGAGAAAAACCCTCGATGAGATGAATTGATTCAGTGACTAGGTAATGTGGATAGGTGTGTCAAAGACAATAAGATTGGCACAGGATAATGCACAGTTTAGGGCTGTTGTACATAGAGTCACAACTCGACGGCACATAACAACATCTGGGAAAAGGTGGGACAAGTTGGGCAACTTTTTCCCCTTTCTCTGGAAGTCTAATTGCCAAGAGTCTTGCCAATATGCTGCTGCTGACAGGCAAATGGACAGAGGGGTGTCCCCATTGACAGACCAACTGACCTGGCTCGAGACCGTCTTCTAACAGAGATTTGACAGTAGACCTAGTTTCCAAAGTTGGTTGACCATTGAATGTGTAGGAAACAGTCTATTGGTCTTTTAGAACTTGATAATTTTTTTTGAGATTTATTTATCTTACACACACACACACACACACACACACACACACACACACACTTACGTAAAGGTGATGACAACCTTCAGTGTTAAAAAGGGAGAATAGACATTATTTGTAATCAGTACCCAGTCATAGAAACATAATCCCAATTGCAAAACAAGGGCCGGGAGTATGGTCAGTAGTTATTTCTTCACAGGTATTGTGACGTACCGTCCTTTTGTTACAGTGTCGCCAGCAGCAGTTTGGTGAGGGCCCTGGGCTTCTCTTTGCAATTTCTGTGTGGCTCACTTGTGCCAAATTGATGTGGGTGTTTGGAAGCGGTTAGATTTTTCTAGAAGCTGTGCGCTTGTTATAGCTAGCCTGCAAGTGTTCTGTGAAGTCAGAGGAGGAGCATGAGGCTACCTTTGGCCGGAGGGGCCCCTCACCACAGCCCTAAATCACTCCTCTTGTTGGAGTTCATATCTGACGGCGAAGATGGATGGTGCCTTTTCCACGGGGCGTTCAGTCTTATTTCTTTTTCCCTGGAAGGACTGGGAGTAGGGACCAGGGTGGGAGCTACGTCCTCTATTTCTGGAGGACTCTGTAGTGTACATGTGGCCACAGCAGCAGTGTTCCACTTCCACTCTATCAGTTACACCAATCTTTCTGGGGGCATAGAATGAATATGTTCTCCAGCAATCGGGGTCCCTTTGCTCTAGATTTCCTATGTAGGGTCATTTCTGTGGTTTGCTTCTGGATTCTTAAGTCTTCTCATGAAGGTGCTTGGTCTTTTCCACTTTGATACACATGTAAAATACACCTTCAGAAATGTGTTCTTGTTTTAACAGCAAACCAGATGTCAGGACGTTGGTTTGCTCTCTTACTGTCGGAGAGACATCAGAATGATCATTAATCTTGGTTAGGATAAAATTGCATATGAGGAGATATAACAATGTTCATTTTTCTTATGAATTTTTTTTCTCATGGAGTGAGGCTTATTCCACCCCCCCCCGCCCCGCCCCTTTGCCCTCTGGAGGCTTATTCTGGGTCTGCTCTGCTGATGACAACGTGGGTGACATTTTATAATAATGATTTGTGTTGTGATGATGGCGTTGGAGCAGACAATGGTACGTTCTGTAGTACATAGGGTTGGCGTGAGTAGGAGCTGACCCAATAGCACCTAACAGTAACAGTGGATTACCTGTTATCAGCAAAAGCCAATCGCAAGAAAGGGCTCATGTTTAGTAAAGAAGAAGGAAATCTTAGCCAGCTGGACTGACTCAAAAGCCGCAATGATGGACATAAACTTTCCAACCACCATGAGTAGAGCGCAGGTTCTCAGGAGTTGGACCGCACTTGACGGGCATTTGACAACAAGTGTCTGTCTAGCATGCTCACCTGGGACTCTGTCTCATTTGTCCTCCTAAGCACAAATGAAGTATAACGTTGAATTTTTGATATTGTCAATATTTGACCTTTTTTATATTCTATATTAGTTTGTTTACAAAGTTTGTATACACTGTGTTTCACACTCTTCTTCATTCACATTATGTTTCAATCATTCTTATGAATTATGTTTTATAAAATTAATCACCATTCCTGCTAGATCCTTCCCATTTCCTTCACCCCTTTTCTCCACTCACCAAATTGTGCAACACTGTGATTTTGCCACTATTCATCTTCACCTCTTCCACCATTGTAAGGACATGGAAACAGCTCAGATGTCCAACCACAACAGAATGGATTGAGAAACTGTTGTATATTCACACAATGGAATAGTATGCAGCACTCAAGAGCAACAATTTAGAAAAATACCACATAACTTGGGAGAGACTGGAGAGTATTACACTAAGAAAACTAACACAATTTCATAAGGATAAATACTGTATAAGATCATTTCTTAGTATTTTACCTTTTTTTTTTGGAAAAAAAGAGCAATTTTACTTTGTTCAATTAAATGGTTGAGGTAGGTACTAATGACTGGCTCCAGTAATGAACTTCATCTTAGAGATGATGCAAGTGATGCACTAAAGGCTGTGAAGGCTGGTAAGTGACCTTTCTGGGCCAGAGTTACTGTTCTATTTAAGGCTTAGGGTCTCTAACTACGCCTGTCTGCCTGGACTGATGGGTTTCTGGGACACAGGACTTTCTGTTTAATTTTATTTTTGAATCTGATTTAAGTGAACATTACAAAGCAAATTGGTTTTTTTATTCAATCATTCATATATATTTTGTTTTATAACTTTAATTACAATAATCACAATGAAATGGCACTTTCTCTACTTCCTCCTGTAATTAATTTTCATTTGTATTACCTCTTCTATCTGCTTTCTTCCTGCTTTCTCTCATTTTTGGGCAAATGCTGAGATTTTGACTTTATGAGGTTGATTGTTCTAAGAAGGGAGCTTCTCTTTGGTGTGATTTGTCATCTTAAAAGCCTCTCCATTATTTGACTAAAGACTGTGTCAGAGGTGTGGATTTTGTTCTAGGATTGAAGATAGACTAAGGGTCATAGTGTCCAGCTTTCCATCCATCTCTACTGAATCAGTGAGTGGCACGTTTTGTGTGTTTCCTTGGAATTCTACTATTTTCAACCTCTTCTGCTCTGATCCCTTTTAGAGTGGTCAGAGTTGACAGTAGGGCACCATCTAGTTTTTCTGGACTCAGAGTCATAGAAGTTGAAGTTCTTGTTGTGATCCATGAGTTCTTTGAACTAATTGTTCAGCACATCTCTACTTTTCTTCTCTCTCTGTTCTGGACAGGGAGAACAATAGTTGTGCACAGGTGCTGCTGGCAAGGTTTCTATTCACCAAAATAGGATGTAGAACATAGTCTGTGGACTATGTGAAAGGACTTTCTATTTTTAAAACAAGAAAGTCTAGGTAAGCTATGATAATTGCTTACTTTGACCTTCCCTTTTATCTTGAAGGATTCCAGGTGACCAAATGCCTTGGTTATCTAGTGATGCTTTAAAATAAAGACTACAAGGAAGTTGTTGTTGTTGTTATGTGTCATTGAGTCACCTGTGACTCATAGCGTCCCTATGTACAACAGCCCTAAACTCTGCTCTATCCTGTGCCAATCTTATTGTCTCTAACACATCTACCCTCATTCACCCAGTCACTGAGTCAATCCATCTCATTGAGGATCTTCCTCTCTTGTTCTGTCCCTCCACCCTCCCAAGCATGATGTCTCTCTCCAAGTCATGATTTAAAAGTTAGTGTCTCAAAATTATGCAGGGTAAAAGTCACAATCTTAGTCACGTTCTCTTTTTGTGAGCATTTCTCCTAGTTTCTGGTGTCTACTAGCATTCCTTTCCTGGAATGTAGATCCTGGCATGGCACGTGCCCTTCCTCGGTGTGAATCTCTGTGTCTATACTACTCTTCATAACTCAGAAATCCTTACGTTAAGGACCCACCATATACTCATATGCCCTCAATAAGGAAAACCCTGCAGCTCACAGAATCATCCACAAGTCAGGGGCCAGAAGTTTGAGAGATGTTTTCGGGGGACAAAATTCAACCCAAACATTGAGTTTGCTGGCTTTCTTCTGGGACCCCTGTCCCTCACGCTGCTCTTCCTGACTGGGTCTCCTCACATGGAGCAGCGAGTCCGCGTGACGCTCACCTGACCCTTCACTGCTCTTATTTTCTGTTTTTCCAGGAAAGGTTTAAACCAGAGATGTCATCTGCTTTGGCAGAAGGAGGAGCGAGCTAGGAATCAGAAATCTAATTCCAGTGGGCCCTTGGGCAGGTAATTAATTAATGTGAGGGTTAGTTTCCTTGGTTATAAAAATGGGAATAATAGTTCTTCCTCAAGTAGTTGACAGTTCAGTGAAATAAATAAGGGCAAAATTAAAATGTGAGCCAAGCATAAATAAATAAATGAACATACCAGTTTATCCGTTCGGAAGAAATTTGGTTCTCCCATCTAAGCTTTGAATCTCAACTCTGTCTCCTTATTTCCTTTTCATCCCTCAGGCCTTTTGCATTTGCCAGCTACTCTGGGAGCTAGGTTTGCCCCTTATGACCAGCTTTTTGTGATTCTCTGGCATGGCAGAGAAACAGTCCTTTGTTCTAATCAGAAAATCCAACTTTAAATCTTGTACTGGTATAGTGTCAAAGGCCCCCTTTCCTACTGCTGAGTACTTTCGTGGTTTCTGTAATCTCATTACAACTAGTGTGTCCAGATTATTTGGATGATCTAATATTGTATTATCCCTTCTACACAAGTAAGGATTTTTTTCAACAATAATTTGAATTTTCCCTACTTGGATAATTTCCGCTCTTGCACTTTGTAGTCCTAGGACACGCTGGTCTCTATTGTTTATTCTTAGGTTTGTAGCCAAGTTGCCTTACATCCATGGTCATATTCTTCTACTAACTGCTGAGAAGTTTAGTTTTATGAGGAATTCTTAGAGACGAAGCCTCTCAATTTCCCCCTTTTAGTTCTTGCATGCTATAGTAACATGTTTCTGTTTTCTTTCTCTTTTAGTAGTTTGAGGGTCCATTACTTCTTGTTGTTGTTATGTGCCATTGAGTCGCTTATGACTCATAGCGACCCTGTGTACAACAGCCTTAAACTCTGCTCTATCCTGTGCCAATCGCACTGCCTCTGACACACCCATCCCAATTACCCCAATCACTGAATCAATCCATCTTATAGAGGGTCTTCCCCTCCTGTGCTGTCCCTCCACCCTCCCAAGCATGATGTTCCTCTCCAAGGACCGGTCCCTTCTTATAGCATGTCCAAAGTATGTCAGACGAAGCCTCAGGATCCTTGCCTCCAAGGAGCAGCTTGTTTTAACCCTCTCCAGGTAGTATCTGTTACTTAGTTAACATAATTTCTTTCACACACTGGTCATTCCATTAGGACCTTTGTCAGTCTGAATCTTTAGGCATTATCACTCCTGCACAATTAAACTCAGTGTAGTATTTGACTGTGTGGATCACAGCACATTATGCCTCACATTGAGAAGAATGGGACTTCCTGAATGCTTGATTGTACTCATGCAAACCTATACCTAGATCAAGAAGTGGTTGTTCGAACAGAGCAAGGGAACACTATATGGCTAATAAATCAAGGAAGGAGTATGTCAGGGATGTACAATTTCTCCATACATTTTCATTTTAAATGATGAACAGATCATTCACAAAGCTGGACTTCATGAAGAAGAATGTGACATCAGGATCCGAGGAAGACTCATCATCAGCCTTTGGTATACAGATAACACAACCTTGCTCAAAAGCTGTGAAGGACTTGAAGCATTTACTGCAGAAGATCAAAGACTGCAGCCTTCGATAGGCTATCTCAACATCAAGAAAAGAAAAATCCTGAGGTTGTTAATGATTTGATCTTGTTTGGAACCACAAATCAACATACTTGGCACCAGAAGTCAGGAACCTAAAACAACAACAGCAACAACAAACAAACAATTCCCCAAACACACCAAGTCACATTGGGAAAATCTAATGTCAGGGACCCCTCCAGCATGCTAAAGAAGAACGATGTCGATCTGAAGACTAAGGTGCATTTGTTCCAAGCCATGGTCTTCCCAATTACTTACTGTGCATCTAAAAGCTAGACAGTAACTGAGGAAGACAGAAGATGAATCGATGTCTTTGAGTTGTGATGCTAGAGGAAAGTATTGAACATACTATGGACTGTCAGGAGAACAAAACGATCTCTCTTGGAGAGGATGAAACCAGGTTGTCCCATGGGGGCAAGGATTTTGAAACTCTGTCTCATATTCTTTGGGCATGTTATCAGAAGGGACCAATCCTTGGCGAAGGACATCAGACTTGGAAGGGTGGAGAATTAGCACAAGAAAGGAAGACCTTGGATGAGATGGAGTGATTGTAGCAATGCTAGTTTGCTCAGGATAGGACAAAAAGTTTACGACCGTTGTACATGTTGTTGTTGTTGTTGTT